TGGTTCCATCTCAGGAATAATGCAGTACAATTGTCCGAACAAAGGTACCGGAAGCACAGTAGAGATGTGCCACTGGTGCACATTGAGCTGGGAAGTGTAACCGACAGGCCAACCAGGGCAACTTTATTACGGGTCATAGATCTATTTACCATCACACAAGCCGGAGGTCTATTCAATTTGACAAGTAAAAGTCACGGGGAAGTTTGACTGAATGGGTGGGCTAAATGTATAATGTCCATGATCGAGGGAATGTTCAGTTGTCGGTACACCACTTGGCTGGATGCATGATATCAGAGCAACGCTCGCCTCATTTGATGGAAAGTGTATTTATCTCGTGATGGCTGCAATGACGGCGTCTAAACATCTAAGAGTATCGTTTGGGTGGATACGTTGGAGGGGCATGACCCAGTACCTTAGCTGCAGAAGTTCTTTTCTCTCTCAGCGACCTCAGTGCGTGCACTGAAAAAGCTTATCCGTGAGCGTTGCAAGCTGTTGCAGTAAATTGAGAGTACATTCTTTGCTGAGGACTGTGAGAGTTAGAGGGGCTTTCCTGCGTCACTGACGTTATCCGTTTGGATCAATTCAAGCAATTTTAACCCCTCGTAAGGATAAGAGCGATTCGACTGGGTGAACAACTACCATGCAGTGGTAAAGATACAGTCCAGCTGTTCACTTGAATGGAGGAAATTGTTTCTAAGATGCAAGCTGAGTAAGTTTTTGATACCCCTTCCAAACACAATAATTCCTGACAAACAATGGAACAAACTTCCTTGTCTGATAACTATTGTGTGATAGTAACGGCCCTATTGCGCATGCATGGTGGTTCTCTGTTCGCCTTTTTCATCTTGACGGCCAATCCGTTGCAAAAGCCAGAGGAATGTCGCGGAAATACGTTTGCTTACTACATGTATTTCCTTCTGCTGAAATTTGGTGACTGAATCGAAACCAAGGATGAGTACGTTCACCTATAACAAAGTTACCACTGGTAAGACTACTGAGTGCAATTTTTATGGTCTAAAGTCATCGAACCAAGAAACAAACTACTTACTGAAAGAATGGATATTTCTAGTGCATAAAACAACAAAAGTATATTGGACTCGTTATTTCTGATTTGCTCGTTTCGGACCGGTCTCCGAAATCTCCCGAACTAAGTCCAACACAGACCACAAGGTATTATCTCCGGTAAGTAAGCATAGAACAGATGGCGGCGCATTATGGATAAGATAAAGCAGCAAAACATGCGCTTCAGAAACGTAGACCATAAATACAATATCGGAATGCTGTTTCAGACGATACCTCTTGGAGCTGCGTTCTAACGATCATACGGGTTAAAAGATGAACGTTTGTATCAAACAAGAACACTATAAAACTTCAAGAATGATTTCTCACCTCGGAAAGCTCAACATGAAGGGAAGGCAGCCAGGAAAAGTAACGTGAGCCATCGAAGTGAAACGACCGGCGCAAAACTTGAGAGTTCGGATCCGTGTTCACATCTTCATCCTGTAGTGTCGGAGGGTGAAGGTAAGTAAAGATACAAAAGCACAATTACGAATGAGAATTAAATTTGGAACTCACTTGTCTATCAAACGTACGAATTCGAGAAAATGAATGTCGCTCCTGTCCACATATATGGTGGGTTAGCAACGGTTTCCGGACTAACATTTCATATTGAACCACATTGAAGGACCCCGTGCGCACAATAGATTACGCTACATACATGCGGTTTGCGTCCAGCCGCATGCGCGGTGAACAGACGCACTGGACCCCGTGCAAACCCATCAGAGGCACTCGAGGCATACATGTATGGTAACCAACAAGTACCGCCTTGAACCGTATGACGATGATCCGGGTCCGGTACGCATTCAGTGAGTGTACACCAGTCAGTCAGCGCACGTGCAAGCTGTTCGAGTATCAAACGCTGCGCTGGCATACGAGCAGTGTTTGAATACTGTATATAGGGACCGACAGGACGATTCCCCTAAAGATGTGCAGCTTGGTCTCCAATCGCGGGCTCCTGTTCTCCCTACCTGTTACTTGGGTTTGCCAAAAACGACAGTAGCTTTGGCAACACAGTCTCAGCTCACGGTCGACGCCGAAGTCAGCGATGTTTTTTGAGATAGCGAAAGTCCCCGTAGCGGTCCACAAACTTCGTCCGTCCTAATGCGTTCCAGTTTATAACGCGTATGCGCGAACAATACAGAGTTGTTCCTAGACATGAGAATGTCTGATGACAAAACTCTTTGCACCAAAACGATTAATCCTGAACACAGATTCATCAAGCCGATATTCAAACCATGCAGTAGCACTCGTTTACAAAGTCCGCATCTACGATGGTCGGTAGGTAGAGACTGAAGACGAGGATGCACCCCCGTCCTACAAGATTTGGAAATCACTAGAAGTCGAACCATTCGTTTGCATCCCCGCTCTCGTTCCGTCATGTAAGCTTCGGAGAAAACTGACGGATTTTGGCAGACATTCGTATTTGGAAGGCACCGTCTACAGTAGTTTTTGGTTGATAGAGGCGAAGACCCTCGTCACGCTTATGAAGAGAGTATGGAATGGCTGGCGATACTTGCAAAACGTTTCTTGAAGCCGCCGTGCGGCCAATTTCAGGCCGAGCGTAAAATGAACAGCGCGGAATATCCACTTCGAGTACTTTAGCGGTTGGCTGAGTAGCAATAGTGAAATACGTCCTTGCAGTCGGCAGAGAAAGCCTTGCTTCTTTTTTCCTTTACCGCTGCGATTTATTTGAAAGCCATTTTGTGGAGAAAAGCGGATGGGGAAGCGACTTCGTGCTAGTCCATCACAATCATTCCGAGGTATCTACACATCCAGACACTTTCAGACAATCTGGATAAAGAATGACAGAAAGAACGCCACTGACATCAATTGGCAGTGCGCAAAATGCATTCCAAAAGACAGAATGACTTTGGTCAGTTCATCCGAAATCACCTGAGCTTTCTCGTCCTCTTCAAAGGTGAGGACGATATCGTCTGCATATTTCAGATCAACAAGGTTATGTTCGGGACCGGCAAGGACACATCAACAAAATTTAACCAGTGTCACTGTTCGGTTTAATATTCAGTGCATGAGTAGGCCTCGTAGCGCCGTATCACCGGCAAAACTCACAGTACTGTGCAAAGCGATGGCCATCACGTCCATGTGTGAGTTCACACCTGGTCGTGGAGCAGTTGAGACAGACTCCAGAAGATGACTCTCGTGAATTCGTCTAAGATCAGGATTTACCAGTCTCTCAGCTGCCAAGCCATTTGTTCACATGTTACGCAGCCGTGTAAAACGAAGAAGCGATTCCGAACGAGCGCTTGATCGAAACCCACAATTGTTCTAAAACGAGCGATAGTCAGTTATTGATCCGCGCCATCGGTAACTGACGGTAATGTGATCAAATTGAGTTCGCAGCCGGCACACCGTTGGAGTACACCATGTCGACAGATGACTTTGTTTATTTCAGAAGTCAGTACTGTATATAGACACCCTGCGGTCAGCACACAACTGAAACAATCGTTCACCACGTTCCGAGCCCAATCGAGTCTCAGATGAACAAAGCTTGCTAACCTGTGCACTCAGATCTCCGGCTATCACAACGAAATCTGAGCAGTGGAGGGTGATGAGGCGGTTAGCTTAACCATTTCCACAGTACACATGAATGTCAAGCGAGTCCACTGTGAGGACAATAGTGACTTGTTATCCTGCTTGCTTCAGAGTGCGGCCATTTAGACCGGCCACATAGCCTGGGCGTCGAGTCTCAAATATTGAGTTCGAGATGCCTGAGAATGTAGGGGCCGGATCACGAGCAGATGTCGCTACCAAAACCTGATGTAGGTCGAACGGAGTCAACAGTCATAAGTGGCAGGCCTGCAAGGAGATATTCAGTGATGGGGTGGGAGAGAGAGAAGTATGTGTTGTAGCCTACTTTCGCTTAACCGCCCTGTTGTATGCGAGTAAGGCAATCCAGTTGATGGGATCACACGAAGGCCAATGTGGAATGAGATTGTGTGTGAAATTCATGGGCTGGGATACTACCAGGGCTCACACACCTAAACAGGAGAACGATTAGGGTCCTCAACCTAACCCTTTGATTCAAAAGGCAGCGGTGTTTGGCGGGAAATCCAGGTGTGTTTCAACTTTTACAGAACAACTCCCCACACATGTTCTAACCCCGAAGCTGGAGGACCACTGAGCGAATTGGTATGAGAGACTGAGTTTCGCACGGATACCCCCAGTGTAGCTCAGTGGGTCGCCGAGGCACACAGACCGTCACACCATGGTAATGTCTAGTCACTTCGTGACGGACGGAAAGGGCAAAACGACTAACCAATCAATGCATACGAAGACAGATTATCAGGGCAAAGATAGGATGGAATGAAGCGCAGGTAGATATTAAACCTATCCAACGCGAGCGAGACAGTTGCAACGCAGATCATAAACGAACCAGCTAGCTAACTAAACCGACTGAGTTCAACGCATCTGAGAGTATCAGGATGAGAGAACTTGATATCAAGAAGAGTAAAATAGCTGTGATCGATGGTCGAATGCTTTCTCAAAAACCATGAGTGACGGTAATGCCAACACTGGCACTACCAGATCGGTAGTTCACCCGATATCGTGGGCACTTTGCAATATAACGTGCACGTAGACGACTAATTGTTGCTGACAAGAATACCGTAAGACATTTCGGTATCTCAATAAGTCAGTGGTGCAATTAGCTCTAAAGTACAGATGAAATAGTGAATTCCATAAAGGGTACAGCAGGCATGGATTGGTTCTTTTCCCATGAACAATCTTTCAAATGGAACGACGCGCTAAAAATGTAGTACGAATGTTTTAACAACCAGATCTCGTAAGGTATCACATATGTATCTATAAGTTGGGAAACAACCCAGGATTTTTACAGCATCGCATGTTGAACTGTGACATGAGAAAGAAATATGGACCGAATGGTGGACGAGGAAAATCATATGGGTAAAATACAGCCTTACACGTTGAGGTACATTTTGGGTTGCTGCCGGCAAACTAGTTGAGCGCACCGCAGTAGTGATGGGTCCACCCGCGGATTGGTGTGGAGTGTATGCGGCGGGCAACGAGATGTTCCTGGATGATGTGCCGCCGGGGACAGCGTCGCGAGCAGCTGCCTGCGCAGCCGCCGAGACGATCGGCGCCGAACCTATGCTGACACCCAGATTCAGTCCAACGGTTGCAGCAAAAAGACTACGGACGGGGTTCTCAACTCCGCCGAAACGATCAACCTGTGGAGCCATTCCGGGACGAAAGGGAGGGGCTGGGGTATTCAGAGGACGCTGCTGATTGATTCTGGTGTCCACACGACGAACTAAGTTGCGAAGGAGCAGTCCAAGAGCAACCTGATCTTGCTGTGCGCTTCGAGCGGATTGCGAGGGTACTGTTGGGGTACCAAGTTCACGACGGCAAGTAGGACAGGTAGAGTTTTGTTCCAACCAATTCCGGAGACAGAACTCGTGAAATTCGTGGCGGCAAGGTAGACGCCGCCAAACGACCAAGGGTTCCCAACAAATTGCGCACACCGTTGGATCCTCCTCAGGGGTTTCCTCGTTTGTGTTCGAAATCTCTCCTGTATTTTCAGGCGGTAGATCGACGGAATTCGTTTTTTCGCGATCCGACACCTGGAAAAAAGTGCCATTGAGAATGAATGTTTCCGAAGAAAACAGTCAGGGCACGTGGCACAAGTTAGTGCGACACACTTTAGCAAAGTGCCGCAGAAGGTGCGAGACTATTTGGATTATGAATGATGCGATGATTTTTTTTAAAAACAGACACTTCCCCACTATCGAAGTTTTCTAAGGGGGTCTAGAATGATCACTGACGCGGTTCTTTGGCTATTCATCAGACATGTAAGATTATCCTGGTCAACTGCCTCACAGTTGTTCTACCGGTCAAGACGAACCACACTTGTTAAATTTGTCCCAACATTGAAGTGAAGGAGATTGTTCGACAGTTGAACCAAAATAAGCTGGCAAACGAACAAAGCTAAATGCCAGGAAGCATTAGTGGTAAACAGGCACGATAGATTAATTGTTTCATTTCGCCTCAGCTCACCACGAACGGATGATTTATTGTAAAAAACAATGGAGGGGCAAGTCCAACATTACAACGTGCTTTGCTATTCTCCGGATTCAGGGAATCCATAGGATGGTCAACGTAACCCAAAAACGGAAAAGAGACTGCGAAAATATCGCCAAAAGGACACGAAAACTATCATCCATGAATAAATTAGAGTAGTTTATCCACACATCAATACACCGTTTTTACATTTTGTGAGTAGATTGTCAAATTTAGGTGCCCCTGGAATAAGTTTTGTGATCGCGGCTCCACATCAGATTTTTATAGAGCTCTACAGTTTTACACCCAATTATATAACAGAAAATAAACCGTTCAGCTGTAACACCCTTCCGGTACCTAGCTGCCATGCTACCCGAAGGAAGCACGAGGGCTGGGATACTGCCAGGTTGCCCAAGCCTAGACAGGGGAAGTTGAGAGGCAGAGGTCGGGTTCGAATCACGGATCTTCCGGTCAGTAAATTCGTGCTCCAGCTACTCAATAATGATAGCTCTTAACCAACCCTCAAGACATTCAAGTAAAACAGTCTGGAAGAGCTTTTGTTAGTGCCAGCTAAACTGGAATTTTGACTTGCCATCTGATCCCCGTGTAGGGCAGAGAGAGGATGCCTGAATGTCACGAGAAACATTTTACCGTTATTCGCTGGCTCCGTGGACCATTTACGGATATCGAACTCACACAGGTTCATGTGCGCGCAAAAGTATGCCCCCGAATTTCCGATATACACGAAGTCGAACCGTTCATGACTGGAAACGCTAACGCAGACTTACGTGCCAGTAACTTCTCATATGACTGAGGTTCGGTGACATTCAGTACTGAATTGCATCTTTACAAAGAGCATCTTTTTTGCAAGGTCACCATACCAAAACCATTAGTTACTGATAACGTGACAAATACCTGATTGGTATCAACAGTACATCTATCGTTTGGCGATGAGTTTTATCCTAACTGATACGTTCCATTGATTAGCCTCAATACCTCTAAAGCTGCCAGTAAAACATGGACCTGGTCGTTAAAGTTGTCAGCGGGCTGTAGATCTCGATTATGCTGTATCGCGAATTATTCACATGTGCGAGCTTGAATGGTTAAATGCTACATCAACAGACTAGACAACATACTTTTACGTTCCTTGGAGGTCACACTTCCTTCTAAATTGACTCCATTGTAGGTAAGCCTAACTAGTGTGACGTGAAGGTGAGGATAACTCGGTTTCCAAGCAACCGCAGCCAATAAGTGACTGATGGTCTGGTTTTCAGGGACGGTGAACTCAAAAAATAGATAGTGTCAAACTGCCACGACATTTGACAAACCACACGTAAAAGGAAATAAGCAGACCTAACCATGAAGAGCTCGAATATCTCACATCACTCATCCCGACAGTTACCGCTTTCATTTCGAGCTGATGCCTTGCGGTGTGCCTACACTGAATCTTCACCAACAAGGGCTCCGAGTAAAAAAATACGGCTTTCTTCGGTGCACAGTCCGATATACCTACTGGATGCCCCAGCTACATTCACAGCCACTCAGACGAATCCGACTGACTACCTAGTACCTGCTTACGGAACATCCCATCACTTATATACTGTAGCAAGTTAATGCTTGGTATGCTGTGAAGACATCGGTGAAAAGATATTTGAAGACGTTTGAGGTCTTTAAACCGCCCGGAACAAGTTTCACAGCCATAAAGCAAGACTGTTATTACGAGGGTTTTTTAGACAGTCCTTTGTCTTAAACGATATTCGACTCCGGGGCCTGGACCTTAGGTGTGTCTATATTATGTCACTGTACAATCACAGCTTATTCAACTGCCAGGGCATTCAAACATATCAACAAACCCAAGCCCCAGCCTGCCCACTTTCAAGGCGCTTTTATTCCTTCAGGTTCCTGTATCCACACAGTTGCGCCCACGTTTTACACACCTTATAGCTAAAATATATTCAGAGTCCGAAGGCAGAAAACGTCTCGAACAGGGGACGGACAGCGACTGTTGTGAATTCCAGCCTTCATCTGGTGGGTGCTCAGAAACACCACATTCAGGGTTTCGTGTCATGTGCAGTGGCCCTAACTAAGAATGCTGAATCACGAGGGTTTGGGTGTTTAATCTCAACGTAAACTATCTTGATAAGCTCATTTAACCAGGCCAAAAGGATAGTTTATTCCTCAGGTCTCCTCCGGGAAATTCGTCGTAAATTTACAGAATGGTAACATGATGCGAATCGAACTGTGTGGTCTAAAAAGACGAACAGTCAAAAATACAACCTCACCATTGGTAGATAATCACCACGTAGTTAATTTACACCTATGTTAAGTAGTGGAGGTAGCCAGAGAGCGCAATGGCGTCTAGGTCTAAACTCAGGAACAACTGGTGGTCAATACAAAGCCGAATCACTACATCTTAACAAGGTAAAAAGGCCATCAGCTCACGCGTTCTACTTGTACAGCGGGATCTCCGACGACTAGGACAAGAGCTGAATTCAAGTTGGAAAGGAGAGCCGCTAGCTCTCAGTAGAAGATATCTTAGGCCGAATCAGACTTGCAGTCTGTTGATGGATATGCAGAAATTATGAATCAAGAATAGATACTACATCGGATAGTGGGGGTTCTTGTGGAGGAGCTATTTATGGGGATCCAACAGCCTCGAGAGTCGACAGATAGGCTGTTAAAGCCTAAAGTTTGCAAGTGGTAGCTTTTAGTTTTTCGAAAATCCCATTAGCTGGATTACTGTGCTCGGATCTCGCACTCGAGTTTCATGAATGCGAGAAGTGGTTACTGAAAGTGTCAACAGTTCGCGATAGAACAGTTTTTTATCTGAGTTGTATTAGATTTCGGAGACTAAAAGATGCGATGAAAATACGAAAGTGAGATCTGAGAAGCAGAGGTGAGGCGGTGTGCGATAACAAGGAATCAGTCACTTCTTTGGGTGAAAGGAATATGCCCATAACTGATACCGACGGAAAAAGACCGTTAAGAGATACAGGGATTTGACGGAAAATATTAGGAAGTAGGTGTCCGCAAAGATTTTTCACCTTTCCGCCCTGCAGTACGAGGCACGTGTGGCGAAACGGGTGGCAACCGCGTGGTATGAAATTATTGCTAGGTGGGCTGAAATGTCGTCAGTGGACCAAACCTGGACAGCGCGACCAGGACCCTCAGTTCAAAAACTTGACCTGAGGGTAATGGTGGTTCACGCAGTCCAACTGCCAAGGAATAATTCACAACACATGCTCCAACCATCAGACGGAAGTATCCATTGGTCATTCCTCACTAGTCCCGTGGGTCACCAGGGAGCCCAAACCATCACAGTACCATAAGATCAACTCCACTCATAAGGGATTTGTCTAGGACAAACGCTGATTATGACTCCATCATCTATCGGAATAGAAACCAGTCAACAACAGCTGGTGTGTTACCCGCACATCACAAAAACCTTGGATTGAGAACTGTGATCTAAGAGCTGCATCAGGAGCGTGGGTTGCAGAAAGAAATAGGTGTACGCTATCCTGTCAAAATTTCAATCATGATTAGCAAAGAAATTCACTGACACATGGATAAATAGGCCTGTCCCGAGTGGTTGTCGTAACAACCAAACGCATCCATCATATTCATGTGGACTGGTGTCATAGGTAGGTGGCACAATAAAGATTACTCTATTTTACCCTTAAAATAAAGTGTCACAAGGTAAAAAGTAAGGAGTATCCTGCAGTTGAAAAAACCCGAATGAAATGATTGGCGAGCCCAAAACAATTATTCGTAGAACTAATATTAATGGTATACCCTTAGTGAAATTCCACATGCTTTGTTTTGTCGAAAGGGGGAAAACTACTACCACTTACGATTATTTAAAAATGTGAGGAACCGAAAAACGACCATTATCAGGAGGATGGTCTGGGGAACTGGTTCTATTCGGTGCAAATAGACAGGTCACACTATGTTTGATGAATCCTAGTCTGTACAGCAATATCATAGTAAAGCGACCCAGGTTATTACAGTAGTCCTTTCCCCAAAATCGACCACTTTGGTACGACCACTTGATACCATCTGAGAGACCACGCCCAACTTTCAACAGAAACCACTCTACACACCCCTATACGGCGACTAGAAACCAGTGCGTTGATTTTGCTCACATTTCAATGCCACGTACTAACCTGACAAACTGCCCTACAACCAAGTTTGTGCCTGAGGTAGCTACGGACGTTCAAACAATGTCTTCCGCAAGCCCATCCCTGGAGAGCTCACGAGATTGGGCCAACCGAAAGTAGTCCCCCGTTGGCGGATCCTACGAGCACTAAACCAAGTGTCAACACATACAGGATATGGCTGGAGTACATACTAACACCATCGTTCACTCAACATCATGTTCTTCCCAGGTGGGCACCGCTAAATTCTGGGGCTTCGAGGGGACTTCGTCCTAGGATTTCACAATGAAAGGTCTCTTGGTGATCTACCTACCCCCTTCTAAATGGAACATTCACAAGAAGCTACCGATCACAAGAGACTTCTTTTGACTGACTCCAGATTCAGTTGTCCCGATTTGCAGAAGTCACCAAAAGACGACGAACAACGTTCACCCCCCCCCCTCTGGGAAGGCCACCTGTGTTTAACCCTAGACATTTTTGGTGGTAAGCCCCTCCAGAGAAAGAACAATTTTAATCGGTCCCCCTGCAGAAAAAATCTAACAATCGTAAAATACGCTTTCAGAAGAAGATAGAGAATCCCTTCTGAGAATGGCTTATTCAATGAACTGAGATAATCATTTCAACGATGAAATCCCTCTAATAAGAGCCTCACTATATGAGGTCGGTTTTTGGGAGCTTTTCCAAGACCGATTGGCCATTGAGCAAATTAGGGCAACAAGCCTTCCGAGATTAGAGGACTGAGTGGATCCTGAGAGGTGAGCTGGACTATCCGTAATCGGTACTCATTAGTTAGGAGCAGTTATTTCTCATCCAAAAACAAGATTCCGCGTACAATCAACAGAGGACAACATGACTTGGCCACTCAGATCGAAATAAGGCCCGATGTTGCTGCACTATAATATTCAACTCACAACCCGAAGCGCCAGCTGACCAATCCTGTCGAATTCATAGACAGTCTTGACAGCCGGAAGCCAGTTAGCAGACATTTAGTTTTGTTCATTGCATCCGAAATTTCGAGGAACGCCGTGGAGCTATCATGCACTACTACAAGCGTAGACTAACCAAAGACGAACTACATTCTTTAGAAGTCAAATCATGCAGTGAGTTGTGGAGTTTCATTACCCGTCTTGCTTTGTTTTGCACTCATATGTGCCTGATTCCTGTGGTGAGAAGAATTCAAACCCTCTTGAACATCTTTGACTTGGCCTGAGTCGTGACATCTCACGGAGCTGCGCTAACTTATGGTGGGGACATGCACGCAAGTCTGTTCAACACATTGACTTGGCCTGAGTCGTGACATCTCACGCAGCTGCGCTAACTTTACCCCAACATGCTGACTATTCATATGGTGGGAACATGCACGCAAGTCTGTTCAACACGCCAACGATGTTCTGCTGAAAGAACCGTACCTACAAGCAAATCGAATATATAGTTTGAACTCGAAAGGCAGTTTGTAATGCCAATCGAAGCGGTACTAGCAAGAGTGGCCTTCCTGACATTATGGTCCCATCTTTTTCTCCGGCAACGATTATTTCGGGTCACGACGGCACTCTCGCTCAGATGATCCTTGTTTTGGAGATCAGAGAATCAGCTTGCTAGCTTTTGTAGTTTATTGTTTTATCGCAAAACATGCCTCCGGTGTTGCACTATTTGGCTGTATGACCAGTAAAAATACATTCAAGAGACGTCACACATAACTGTCAACCATTCTCCGTGAGTGGTCCTTGATTGAGGTGACTACGGTCGTCAAACCCATATGTGCCAACAAAGAAGTCTCACTACTGAAAAGTCACGTGGTATCAGTAACTTATGAGTTCGATCAAAGATGGAAAAATCGATAGTCAAGGTCAACAATACTATGAAATAAGGTATGTGCAGAGCTACATTGCCATGTCAATAGCTTAAGGAAAGAGAGTACTTACTGGTACACCCATTTTGCACAAAGTGAACTTTTCCGCTATAAATTTACCGAGCTTCCGATATGACATGTGCCGACGAATACGCGTTGCCAACATGGAGTAGGTAGATCGGGTGTGAAGGAAAACGATGAGACTAGCCACCGAGAAGATTCGACTCCAAAGAAGCAGATGAAGATAATGCAGAATTTCCGCAGTGTGGTAGAAAACCACGTGAACAAAATCTAGGTAATACGAAACTAAGGCCTGTTGTGGCCAACTCCCGCCGGAAGACAATTTCCACCGATCATAAGCCTGAATTGTCATATCGCCAAACAATCGCATCGTAGAGGAAAAAAGAAGGACTGATTCGGCCACCATGTAGGCCACAATATCGACCGTGTTATATGATGCTTCCTTGTTCCCCGTTACTTTTGAGATGAGAACTCCAAGAGCAGTGGGTGGCTTCAGGGCTCCCGTAAGTAGTCGATTCTCCATAGATGAAATTTTGGAATATACACCGCTATCGGCCAGTAAGGCACGATAGGAAAGTCCCATTTTCAACAAGAAGCCATTACCGATCCCAAGAAAGGTGAGGACGGAGAAAATGCGAATCCACTCCAACTGAGAAATTCGGGAAGAGGCATAAAACTGTGTTGTTCGAACAGCCGCTATGGCTGCAAAAGACCTCAAGAGTCCGAGTCCAGCGAACCAGAATAGCCATCCGAACAAGCTTGATAGACTGGAAACACTTATAGCGCCGGAAAGTATGACAAAACGCAAGAAAACAAATTTGAACAGCATTCGAGTCAACTGGTTCTTTTCCGTCTCTGCAAGCTTTCCAAAGAAAACACAATACAGTGTTTTTCCGGCAATAAAGGTCGCACCGAAGAGACACAATACTGCCGAGACGAATATCTTTGTGTTAACACTCCAGAACAAGAATGACTTCGCCTCCGCAGAGGAACGGTCGAAATCTGTTGGGTCAACGTCGGATGCATTGCCTAGAGTGCCATCCACGTCTGGAACATTAACTGAGTCCTCAGGCACGGTATCCGGAAACCACACTGATTCCAGTATACATAAAATTAATGAAAGCGAAGAGAGTGTCAAAAACAAGCACAGTTCAGAGCTAAACGGCCACATGAAAAACCGAATAATGGATTGTGCTTGTGGCATGGCGCGAAACGTATCGGCTGTGAAGGATATAATGTACGTTCGTCATAAATGAGAGGGAATGCAAACGAAATCGGGCCCCGAGCCTCTGGAGGCGAAGATAATCCGACAGATTAATTGCGGACTCGGGGAGATAAAAACCAACGTTCTGAAGTGTGAAAAAATTGTGAATTAGAGCCAGTAGAGTGAAAGCGAAAACAATGAAATAGAGCAGATAGGTCTGACTACAGATAGTTAACTTCAACAACTGACTACTTATCAAATCCACGGGTTCATTCTCATCAATGGACTAATTGGCACTTTCGTTGGCACTGGGAGTAGCGGTGCGCTTATCTCTTCCGGGCACGGACTAAGCTGACCTCATACGAGCAACACTTTGTATTTGGATTAGCTTAGGTGAGTAGTACTCAAGCTAGTATGCTAGG